GAGGGAGCTTCAAAGCCTGTATAGGACTTTAACTTCAGAGCGACTGTTTATAGGTGGCCAATGTTCCCTGCCATAGTTTAATTCTTAGTAAAATGTGAATCAGCCAGCAGGTGCAGATGAATTCAGGTATGCTGCATAACTGGGAAGCAGGCATCAAAGGTATCTGTTAGACTCCCCTTATACCCTTCCCTACAATGCCCCTGGAAAACACACTTTAGCCAATCAAGACTATAAGCCAAAATAGGAAACAAGATTTGGAATAAAAGGGATTAGGTACAAAAGGCCAGTATAAGATGTCCCAGGAGCACAGCTGAGCAAGAGCCCTAGAGATGAGACATCCAAATTAGTGTTGAGGAGGGACATTGTGTTAAAGGAAAAAAGTCATCAAGTGCTCCGTGCATTTTACTGTATGGGAAACAATGTTAGTCGCTTTTCAGTGTTTCTTTTTCAGTATTAGGAAAAGCTAACAGTAGACACACATTCAACTAAGAAAATGACAAAAATGAAGCCTTGATTATCTCTGCAAGGGAAGAAGGTTGTTCAAGAAAGGAAGTGTAATCAGACAAATGTCTCCCGGATAAATGGTGACAATCAGATTGCAACAAGGTTATACAAGAGTATTTGATGGGAAAGTGGGAAGCAAGGAAGCACAGTGGGACAAGAACAGTCCCTGAGTTCTACATCAGGAAATCGTGGATGAGATTGATATTGAAAGCACAAACAAGGAGCAGCAACCCAGTATATTGTCTGGAAATATGGAAGTAAATTCTCACAAGACACGGTTAAGAGTTGAAGATGGTTCCGTATGGGTTGCAGGACTTAGGGGATGTGGGGAAAGAGGGAAGACAGAGTTGTCTTGTGATATGCTGCGCCATGATGCAACTCAAATTAAGTGGAAGCGTTGCAAAATGTGACTTCTTTTCCAAATATGAGCATTGCCTTCACACAGGCACTTACGGAAATTCATTCAGAAAAATCAGACAGGCCATGTTTGCTGGCTTTGGTGTAATAAAAATAGACAATAAGAAAGATAGTGCTCAACATAAACACAACAGACACTTCAAATTCCACTTTTGGCTAAGAAGGAAGTAAAGGGGCTGGAGAGATGGTTAAACTTCTATAAATACATGATGCTCTTTCAGAGGACCTGAGTTTGTGGCAACTTAGCACCTCCTGTAACTCCAGCTACAAACACACACACACACACACACACACACACACACACACACACTCATAGTCTCGGTTTTCTTTCTATAGGCCTAAGTAAACACCATAACTAAAAGCAACTTAAGAAGAAAAGAATTTATTACAGTTGACAGTCCTGCATGAAGAGGAACTCGAGGCAGGAACTGAAGCAGAGGCCATCGAGGAATGCTGTTTACTGCTTGTTCCCTATGCCTTGCTCAGCCTGCTTCTATGTACAGCCCAGCACCACCTGCCTAGGGGGCAGGGGGCGGGGGTGGCACTGCCCACAGTGTGCTGGGCCTTCCCATATCAACACTAATCAAGAAAATGCCAACAAGCAATCTGATGGAAACATTTTCTCTGTCCCCTCTTCTCAGATGACCCTGGCTTGTGTCAAGTTGACAAGTCCACACTCAAATTAATAAAAATTAATCTCAAAAAAGAAAATGAAGCTAAAATTACAAACTGCTTCGAAAGAATATTGACAGACAAGTATACTGAAGTTGAAGAGCTCAGGAATAGAATATAGAAATAAAGGGTCAGGTCTAGAAACATGGAAATACAAAGTTGTAAGCCCAAACACATTTTGGGGAAAAAATAAATAAAGCTAACCCTTTAACAAACACTTTCTGCCTTGAGAACAGACATCCTGACAGCCATGTGGACAGAGGTAAACTTTTAACAATGGTCTCCTGCCTCCCAGCTTCCCAGCTAGGCAGGTACTGTGGACAAAGAGTAGCTTCTAACTGTTGCCTCTATGGGACCCTCTGCTTGTATTCTCTTAATTTTTAACTGTTCCCCTTTGTGACTCTACTCTCTGCGCTGCATTCTGTCAGGGACAGTGAAAAGCAACTGTGTCAGCCACAGGCTTTCGCAAACATCCTGAGTTAACATCCTAACGTTCTATAACCCAAAGTTGTAAAACTTAAAATGTAATATGACTTTAAGCCTGACCTCAAGGTTGTAAAAGCTCTTTGACCCACACATGGTGCTTGATTTTACTATAAAAGGAGGCCCAAAACCAGCCACCCAGGCCACAGCTACAGAAGCCCGATCTCTGGTCACAGCTATAGCTGATAAGCTTTGCGTGTCCCATGGTGATTTTTCCCCTCGTTTTCTAAAATAAAGCTTGCTTCTGGTTTAATAGATTTTGGTGGTCTGGCCCCCCATCGTTGTGCGACCCTGGACCCAGCAAAGTAAAAAGCTTATGACCAAAACAGTAGTAGAGGAAAGGTTACCATCTTTTATTATTTGTTTGAAAACAAAAAATTCAAAAATAAGTAATATATGAATCTAAATAAAGTAGAAAATAGCATGTTTGAAAGCAAACAAAAGGCAAAATACTTGATTAATAAGTTAAAGCTACTACAAGACAAACAGGCAGGCAAACCATTAATGAGGCTTCTAGGATGGACAAAGACAGAGAGGTCAAGGGTTTCAGTCTCAATAGTCATTCTGGTTTGAAAGCGGTAGCGAGGTATGCTACGGTCATCTTAGTCTTCTCTGTAATCCATGCTTTCAGTGTGGTCTGTTCTAATCAATACACTATGACAGAAGCATTACCAAGGACTTCTGAGAATATTTTCCTTGTTCTCAAGGGACACATCAAAAATGTAATTAGTCCCTTTCTTCTTCTAGATACCAGGATATGACATTTAGAATGACTGTGTATTCCTGCCAGTCCGAGAGCATTACCCAGAGGATTGCAGAAAAAAGGACTCAGAATCCTGATGCAAGGAGACATTCTGTCTCCAAACTTTTTGTTATGGGAAATAATAGATTTCCTTATTGTTTAAGCCAGTTTGAACCATGAGTTCCTGTTATTCTCAACTAAAGTCACCCTGATAAAAGAGCTCAAAGCTAAGAGTGGGGGAGGGGTCAGTGTGGGTTCCTTGAGACCCTGACAAAGAAAGCAAGAGGAGAGAGAGAGAGGCAGAGAGACACAGAGAGGGAAAGACACACACACACACACACACACAGAGAGAGAGAGAGAGAGAGAGAGAGAGAGAGAGACAGAGACAGAGACAGAGACAGAGACACAGAGAGGGAAAGAGACAGACAGAGAGAGAGAGAGAGGAGAAGGAGAAGCATTTTGCTGCATACCAATTAATAAAATGTATGATTTTCTGGGGAAAAACACACATTTTCAAAATTGACTTTAAAAAGTCTAGAAAATTCTAGAGAGTAACAGTGATATAGAGGGGAAAGGTTGACTAAACTTTAGTCCAACAAAAGGCCATATGTTATTAGAGAAGTCTACATTCTAAACAAACCAGAAGCTGCCATTTGGGGTGTAACACAGATGTCAAACCTTACCCAAATATATAAACAGTGTAATTCTTACAAAATACATAGACATTGTAATTCTCTTAGCACACTGTAGTATGTGGAATTTTAAAGTCTACCTGGAAGAGAAACAGCACAATAATGGGCAAGAAAATCTCGAAACAAAGAAATAAGAGAAAACTGGACTTTCTACATATGAAAATATGCTATAAAGCTAAAATAAATGAGTGTGTGTTATTGAGGCAGCAAAAAACAAACAAGCAAAAGGAATAAGGCAACAGAGAGAGACTGCTGTAGGCCTGTGTGTGGAAGCTGATAATGAACTGTAGCATTTCCAGTCATTTTTTCAAGGAATGACATGGCCATAATTGACCTCAACACGGGTGAAAATTAAGTTGGATCCTTACCTTACACCAAATTCAAAAAATGATTTCCAAGTGTATTTAAATTCAGATCCTTTCTAAAATGTTTAAGAATTTTAGGTTAATTTAGTAAGGTTTCAAGGAAAGGTAACAAGTAGACTTTTATTGAACTCTCGAGATACAGAAAGCCTTCTCTGAGTTGCTATGACAAAATCCCACAGACTTGGGTAATTCCTTATTAGCATGTGTGGTTCTGGAGGCTGAGAAGTTCAAACCTGGGGGACCAGAATTCTTGTTGTGTCATTCTATGGGCTAAGAACGGGGAGAGTGGGGAAGGAAGGGAAGAAGGACAGAGCCGAAACGGCACCAGATTCACCTCTTTATAAGGACTTCACACAGGCTAATCACCTCCGATCAGATACCACCTCCCAACCTGTTGCATTGGTGGGTATGTTTCCAATACATGATTCCAAGGGGAATTATTAAGTATTATACAGTATTAAGAACACCAAATAACACCTGGGGCAGTAGCTCAATGGTAAAGCAATTAACCAGCATTTAAGAATATCAAGAGACCCACACTGGAGCACTGGACTGAGCTCCCAAAGTCCCAATGAGGAGCAGAAGGAGGGAGAACATGAGCAAAGAAGTCGGGACCATGAGGGATGCACCCACCCACTGAGACAGTGGAGCTGATCTATTGAGAGCTCACCAGGACCAGCTGGACTATGACCGAAAAAGCATGGGATAAAACTGGACCCTCTGAACATGGCGAACAATGAGGGCTGATGAGACGCAAAGGACAATGGCACGGGGGTTTGATCCTACGTAATGTGATGGCTTTGTGGGAGCCTAGCCAGTTTGGATGTTCACCTTCCTAGATATGGACGGAGGGGGAAGGACCTAGGACTTACCACAGGGCAGGGAACCCGGACTGCTCTGTGGACTGGAGAGGGAGGGGGAGAGGAGTGGGGGGAGGGGGAGAAGGGTGGGAGGAGGGGGAGAAGGGTGGGAGGAGGGGGAGGGAAATGGGAGGCTGGGAGGAGGTGGAAACTTGTTTTTTGTTTATGTTTTTTTTCTTCTTTTCTCAATAAAAAAATAGTTAGAAAAAAAATAAACTTTATAAATAAAAAAGTTAAAAAAAAAGAATATCAAATAACCCAGAAATTATGAGAAGAAAGATTTATTTATGAATTGATGCAACCATCTGTTTCATTGTCTTAGTCTCTGGAGTGCATTAGTGAATAATGAAAACAGGACTGTATTAAGCTTACATTTTAGTGTACATGAGAATATATAAACAAGAAGATACCTAGTTACCCCCACTGTACCACGGAGAAAGTAAAACCAAAGTAATAGCAGTAGTTAGGAGAGGCCTTGCTGAAGAGGATGTGAAAAAGAACTCACTAGATTCATGGGGCATGCAAGGCTTTACTAAAAGGTGCAAATTAGGAATACAAGAGCTTCTTGATGCATTCTCCCTGGTGTCAAATGACCTTATTTGTTTCATGTGTTTGGACTGAACCACTGAGATCCACGTAAGGTGTCTTTGTTATCAGGGATTTCAAAGCAGAAATTATGGAGAGAGTTTCAGTTTCTCTGTGTAGCCCTGGCTGTCCTGGAAGTCTCTTTATGAACCAGGCTGGTGTCAAACTCACAGAGATCCACCTGTCTCTGCTTCCAGAGTGCTGGGATTAAAGATGTTCACCACTGTCCAAGAAAGGGTTGTTATTATTATTATGTGTGTCTGTTGGGTGCACACACATGGGAATGTGACTATGTGCGGTGTGCAGAGGTCCAAGGAAACCATCGGACATTCTATTCTCTCTCTTTCTCTCTCTGCTTAGTCCTTTGAGACAGGGTCTTTCAGTGAGCCTGGAGCCAGGCTAACATCCAAGCAAGCCCCAACCATTCTTCTTGTTGAACAAAATAATTCAACAACATAATCATGTGTAAAGTGCAGTCCCATACATAGGCTTTCTAAAACTCTAATATGTTAAATATACATACAAAAAATCCAAATGTGCATAAAACCTGCAACAGTGGTTACTCGTGATTGGAGAGAGATAGAACAAGAACAAATTTAAGGGGAATGAGGACAACAGAGAACTTCTGCTTTTTTCTTTTCTACCTCTGTGCTATGACTTATGTGGTTACAGCATGCTTAAATTTCTACCTGAGTGATCTTGTGAACATACAAAAACATACAACGTGATCCAATTTTTAAAATACATATTCCAGCTCTGGGTGGTGGCACATCCTATAATCCCAGCAGTTAGGAGGTAGAAGCAGGAGGATCAGGAGTTCAAGGTCATCCTCCAGTGCCCACTGGCATTCATTTGAGGTTTAACTTCCGGAGGACTTGTGTTACAAAACAGAGTGATTACTCTGCTTGTCACAGTCACCGGAAGAGAGAAACGCTGAGCCTCTGCTCCTGTTCCCTCCCATCCATTGCTACCAGGCCAGGCACGTGGGTGGTGGGTGGTGAACGCCTGCTTGTCTTTGTGGAGCTCTGAAGGCAGCAGGAGGATGACAGTTTGAGGAAGATCAACCAACTGAAGGGGCAGGGCACCATCTGTGCAACTGTGAAGAAGTTGTCATCTGTGCTAAGACCGCTGTTTTAAGGTCACCCACACCCCTGCAAGGAACCACCCACACCCCTCTAAGGAACCCCTCACCAATGTTCCCATAAGTAAGCCAAATAAACTAATTGGCGCACCAAACTAGACTTGGGTATAATCATTACTTTGGTTTGTCATGAGTGCCCTTATGCTGAGATGCTTACAGCTCCCCAGGAGACGCTAACCCCTCTCCCCACGATTATTCTCACAGAAGACCACAAACCCCAGAGATCTCAGTCTACATTCCAATCACCTCAACCTTGAAAAAGTAAATAAAATGTTATTTTTACAGTATTTTAGTATAAAAGTGCATATGATCTTTATAGAAAAATAAGGAAGAAGATTAAAATCCCTTATAATTAAATCATCCTGAAGCATGACTTTTGATATGTTGGTACAACCCAGTTATATCATTGCTGAGATCATGTATCTTAATGTAAGTGTTCTCATGTAGCTTGTAGTATAAGCAGTTCCCATATTGTAGCAGTCTGTTAATGACAGTAATTTGACTAATTTTATTGACCATGTGAATCTATGGCAGAACAGAAGAGTCTTAAGTTGGGAAGCGGTAAGTCGTAGAAGTTATTAGTACAATCAACCACTGGGGACCAGTACCATGGTGTCTGTTGGTTTCAGGACTCACACAGGTGACTGTGCATAGCCTCCTTAATATCTCCAGTATCCTACTGACCAGGAGATACTAGATCCTGGCCTTTCCGGAAGGTTTGCTTTTTCCAATCCCAAGTCAAGACAAGGGAGATTAAATGTGTTTCTGGTAATCAGGTTCTGCATCTTCATCCGGAACTTCAGGATGCTTGAGAAGTGAATAGGTGATTGTATTCTCAACCTAGAGAAAGCAAAAATGAGTCCTGAGAGCTGTAGAGAGGTCTTGGGGAAAGCAGAGGAGCTGGGAGAAGGGAAGGACCCGCCTGGGCTCACTCACCTCAGTTTTGGCGACTTCTCCGAGATCAGGCATATTGTCTGTGGGCAAAAACAAGTGATCAGCCAGAGCACTGCTGGAAAGGGGGTCCTGATGAGTTGCTATTGAGGCTGCAAAACCAAAGCTCAAAGCAGAGCCAAGACAAGGCTTGCCAACGCCAACCCAGGCCTTCAGGCTATGCAGTGTGGCAGTATAGCCTCCTTCCCTGGACCATCTTGGAGTCCAGCCTTCCCCATTGGCCATGCTGGCAAAGGGAAACAAACACGCGCCACCTTCTTTTCAGACAATTGCTGAACGTTCCCAGCTGCAAACCAGAAGCTTTGGGGCTCTGGGAGGTTGGAGAGTGGGGAAATAATCAGATCAGAGTGAAATCCAGTCCAGATTAGAAAGGAATGACTTTTTCTCTACCGGACAAGTGTAGTTCATTCTTGTGGAAGTGTTGAAGAACAAGTACTCTAACATTAAAAAGAATGAAAAAAATAGAGGAGGAGAAATAAAGGAAAGAAGAGAGAAAGGGGGACAGGGAGAGAGGGAAGATGGGAAAGAGAAAGATAGAAAAACACAGTATTTCTCTGAAAAATATCCCAAACACCACATTCTCTTAGGCTTTTGCCCTAAGTTCCCTTTGCCAGTATGGAATGCAGCGCCAGTGTCCGTGAATCACCATTTTGGGAAGTGGGGGAAAAGGCCGAGACAATGCCTCCAGTCTCTTCCCCCAGCCCCTGGACACAAAGAACCCTGTTTGCCATGCTCCAAATTCTGCCCCCACAACACGTTCAGAATTCCCCCTTTTAATACACTTCTTAGCAACTGCAGCAACTAACGATGCCTTTAGGGGAAACCACCAGCTCCAGTACCAGGCTGCATAAACGCGGTAGGAAATGTGTTTACAGCAGAGTAGACAAAGCCAGGCCGGGGGTGGGGGCTGTGAACCCAGTCACGCTTAGCTTTTTTTTTTTTAGACCTAGTTTGATCCTAGATGTGGATCCGCACACGGGGCTGAAGGACACAGACCCTGCCAAAGCGAAGCTAAGGAAGGCTCTTTTGCTCAAGCTCTCATATCCGTTGGTTCTGCTCTGAGTCATGCGCCAGTCCCCTGAAGTGGACTCTCCAAGAAAGTCTTTCTCCTGCCTATTGCTGCTGTCATGGAAGCCCCTAGAGAAAACTTCACTTGCCTGTGTGCTTTGTCTTTCACTACAGTCAAAAATCGCCTGAAATACTCCTGCTCCTTCTGCATGCTTCCCCCTGTTCCAGTGCTGAAAGGTCACACTGGCTTTCTCTTCTCAGACCTATGAGGGTTCCGGGGTCATCTAAACCGCTCACCCACCCACCTGCTTCTTCATGGGGAGTGATCTACTTCAGATTCAGTTGTATGATGGTGGAAGGGTTAGGCCAGTGTTTAATAAACCATAATGAGTGGGCATTAGAGCCAAGGTGTGCCTGCAGAGCGTAACCTACGGGTACTGCTGCTAATCTCCCAGAATTTCCTCAACTCAAATCTCCTCTCAATATGCTACTAAAAGTTGAGCTGTACCAAGCCTCCCCTTACTCCTCCACAGGGAAACACACTTGAAAAATTCTCCAGGGTTACCTCAGACCTCTTCCTTTCCTCTAAGGGGTCTCCCTTCTTAATCTCATTGGCTGCCATCATACAGCCGTTAAGCCTATCCTTTACCAGGTCTGCCACATCTTCCCGGAAAGATCCAAATGCCTCTGAAGTCCTGCTCTGGAAATGTCTCCAGACTCCTTGTTGGTCTAGAAGTTTAGTCAGAGTCCACTGTCTTTCTCTCCCCAGAACCAAAGTTCCTTTTCTCATCTCTAGTGAGAGCCTCCTTAGGGCCAAGAGCTAGACTCAGAGCTGACCAAGAGATTTGAGTCCCAGCCGTGCTCCCACTGCTCCTCCCTCTCCTGTACTCCCACTGAAACTCACAATAGCTGTTGCTTGCTGGCTCCAGTCCACATGGAGGCCCTGGGCTGCCCGGCACTGAACCCTCAGAGGGCACGCTGTACTCACCTAGTTCCTTGGGAAGGGTATCTCCCATTTCCCTGTGATCAGGGTTTCCTGGGAGAGCTAAGAGGGGCACGTAGGAAGTTAGTAGGATTATGGGATGAGTCCTGGATCAAGGAGCAGGGTCAGAACTGAGTTAAAAGCAACATAGACCTTTCCCTCTGGTGGTCACCCACGCTCCTCCCAGCTTCCCAGTTCCCCTGCCCAGGAACCTCTCCAGTTTATGGTGACTAACCCAAGAGAACACCAAGGGACGTCACAAAAACCACTCCACTGCATCTTTCTCAGGTTTGCCTGGCCATTTTAAAAGCTTAGTCTTGTGGCTGGGTATAGTAACCCTGGTTTTTAAAGTGCAATCTTTTGACTGGGTGTACGCCTTTAATTCCAGCATTCGAGAGACAGAGGCAAGAGGATCTCTGTGAGTTTGAGGCCAGCCTGGTCTACATAGTGAGTTCCAGAGCGGCTAGGACTACAAAGTGAGACCTTTCCTAGAAAAAAAAAAAGTGTAATCTTTCTCTCTGCATCTCTCAATATTTACTTATCACCTGGAACTGAATTCCTCTGAATTCCAACTGCAAAGCGTGTTACAAGGTATTAGATATTAGTCAGTGGCAGCATTTTCTCTTTCTCAGTGACTTCCATCGACCACAACATTCCCCATTTCCACAGGTCCTAGAATGCTCTTCCACTTCGCCTAGCTAATGGCTACCCCCAGACTTCACCCTTCACCACTGTGGTTAACAGCTCACACTTACATGCTCTTTACTGTCTGTTAGGCACCTGTACAAAGGGTTCAGATTCAATCACTGTCATTAACACTCTTGTAAGGTGGGTCCCACAGTGTTCTTCATTTTTCAGACTAGTAAACTGAGCACAGAGGTTGAGTAATGTACTCAACATTGAATATTTGCTGAGCTGTGAGCTGAGATTTGAACCACAGCAATCTGGTCCTACTGTGTGTATTTCAATCGCCACACTATCCGGGCTCCTCAAGGAAGCCTTCTCCAACTGCCCCAGCCAGGCTGCCTGCCACAGTTCATTAAACTGTGTTTAATGTGCTTTAAACACATTAAAATCTCATGTGTTAAATGCTTGGTCACCAGGTGGAACAACTGGGAGGAAGCGGAAACTTTGAAATCATGTATAGAGAGAGAAGTCTTTAGGTCATCAGGGACATGCTCTTGCAGACTGTGGCATCTCCCATCTCTTTCTTGGTCACTTTGCTTACTGGCCATAAGGCGAGCAGCTTTGCCCAACCGTGCACTTCCTTGCTAGCTTGTCATAGGCCCAAAGCAATTGGGCCAATACGGACTGAGTCCTACAAAAGTGTGTTAAAAATAAACCTTTTTGTTTATTGACTGATTTGCTTAGATATTTTGAGATAGGATTTTGAACTTGTGATCATCCTTGGGCTCCTGAATGCTGACATGTATTTACCATTGTGCCCAGGAATTATTTCTCTTCATGGGGATTATCTGAAGGACATTGTTACAGTGACAGAAAGCTGATAAACACATGGGGTTATGAAATCTTCCCTTTGTAATATTTTACACAGGATCTTGCTGTGTAGCACAGGCTGACTTCAGACTCATCCTTCAGCCCAGGCTGGCTTCAGAGTCTTTAAAAGAAAAACAAACCTTTATTTCTTGTTATATGTGGTATACACTCTAACATATCCATGATGGTCAGAGGACACCTTTTTGGGATCAGTTTCTCTCTTCCCATCTTAACTTGGGTACCATAACTGACTGAACTAAGATCACAGGGCTTGTATTGCAAGCACCTGTACTGACCGAGCCATCTCACTAGGTGTGGCTTCAGCCTCTCCTCCCTTCTATCTTACCATCCTGGGGTCACAGAATGTGCTGCGACCTCCAGTGCCTAATCACAGTGCTATCATCTCATCGCTCTAACCCCTTCTTGTAAGCATCCCCTTGTACCTCTGTCTGCTTCACAATGCTGAGAACTAGCTGAGGGCAGAAAGGGAACCAAACACCTCCATTGTCCAGCACAAGGTGGTGGTAAATCACCAAGCTTGTTCAAGTCTGGTTTAACAGATGAATTTGTAAGTAGATGAATGAACATGACGGCACTATATCAAAAGCAAATAAGTCTCTAAGCCCTAGCTAGCCCCAGCTAAGTGGGAACTGATAAGAGGGTTCAGAGAGAGCCACTCACCTGGAGCCTGTTTTTGCTTGATGTAGATCAAGGATACCAGGATAATAACAAGGGTTGCTACAGCAATCCCAGTGACAGCGGCTACAATTGTCAAGACTGGTACAGAGCTGCTGCTGGATCTGGGCACTGGAAAAGACAGAGGGGGTGAAGGTAGTAAGTTCTCTCTGTGTATTCACCCTTCCTCCAACGCTATGCCCAACGTCTGTCACCTAGAGTTGTCCGGGTCACCTCAGAGGTGTAACACATCACCCTGAAACCTCATCTGCATAGGTTTCTGTGCACAGAGTTGTGCCTCCCCAATAACCGAGTGCTTCCACCAAACTAATGAGGGCACACTGGCGAAGATGTAGGAGCAGAGGGGACAGCCCAGACGCAGTGGGGAGGGGGGATCTGAAGCCTCCCACAGATGGCAGCACCACCACTGCCTAGAACATGTCGGGCCTTCGAGAATGAATGACTATTAAATAAGATACAAAAAGTTACACTTCAGCTCTTAGGGATGTCTAGGGATGCAGAGAACCCATGCACTGATGACAGGGCACTGTTTCTCTGCTACCCCGCAGTCCTGCCACCCACCACCCACTTGCCCTCACCTGGCAGGGCCTTCACAGCTTTCCTCTTTGCTCCCAGCCCAGTTTTGCTGCTGTGACATTCCTAGAGCTCCATGTGGGACTTTAGCCTTTGTCCGTCTCCTCCTCTCCCTTTCCAACGTCCTGACAGAGGCCCCGTACCTTGGACAGTGATGGTCACAGACCTCGACTTGTATTGTCCCTTTCCTAGGTATCCTGTGCAGTGGTAATCACCGCTGTGGCTGTGATTTGCTTTGGAGATGGAGAAGTTGCCATTGGATTGACGATATTTTATGGATTTTCCATTCTGGTATAATGTGATCTTGTTCAGGGGTTTGCTCCTCCAGCTATGGCACCTCAAGATGATGGTTTCCCCTTCCTCAAACACCAGTTGAGGGGTCTGGAGCAGCAGCCAGTCTGAGCGACACAGAAAGACCATCAGACACAGAGGGCCTGGGCTCAGCTCTGAGACCCAGTCTGAGCAACACAGAAAGACCATCGGACTCAGAGGGCCTGGGCTCAATCCTGAGACAGAGGTTACCCTTCCTGGAAGGATATGATCTGCTAAGGGCGAGAGAGCTTTAGTTTGACATCAGACAATCTTGATCTCTGATACTAGCTCCACTCATTCACAAGCTCTTTAGTCTTGGGCAAGTAATTGAATTCTTCTGGGCCTCAATTTCCTCATCTGTGAAATGGGCATTGTCAGATTTTGCAGCTACACTAATTCTTGGTGTCCAATAGTCTCCTTCCTCCTTTCAGAGAAGGCAGCTATGGCCTTGTCCTGTCAGGAAGAATACAAGAGATGGAGATACAGGAAAGAGGAAGGAATCCAGCCTCATGGGTGTGAAGAGAATACGACAGAGCCTTCCCTTTGGAAACTTCTGAAGCTCCCCCCCCAAAAAATGTTGGTTTCCTTGATAAATAGAAACAGGTGTGGACCTACGGTTCAGCATGGCCAGAGGAAAGTCGTTAGCTTGCTGTGCACATCCTGGTGAGAGGAAGGCACCAAGAGCGACAGCGACAGTAGCCGACAATGCAGTCTCGCGGTGGCCTTTCTGTGGAGAAAATCTACTTTTTGCCAGGAGTCTTATAAAATCGTTGATCTGCCCAGAAAAGAATTAATAAGCCCTGCCCTGTTCTGGATACTGCAAATATGGAAATGGATGAGACATGGCTTTTCACCTCATGTGTCCACAAGCTGGTGGAAGAAAAAGAAAGACGAGGACACCCAGGACTGTGAAGGAAAGAGATCAGGAAAATACCCGTGCTCTCCAGAACCTCAGGGAGGAGACATTAGCCTTCTCGGCTAAGCAGAGGAGAAAGCTGAACTCAAAGTTAAATAAATAACCGTATTTGTATAGACGACTCTTTCCACAGCCTGGGTTCAGTTGTGGGCTAATGGCATTTTTCTGAGTGTCCTGTAACAGCAGGATTTCTATGAAATAGGGACTTCCTTTTTCTGTATTATTCAGCTGTCTGTCTTTGTCCATGAACCTCTGTTGCTCAATCAGGACTACCACATTTAAAAAAAAAAACAAAACAAAAACCCAGCTATTCACACATGCTGAGGAATTTCTCAGGAATTCGTAAGCCCTCCACGTGCCTGCCTGCAGCGGACCAAGCACAAGGGAGGGTAAACAGGGAAATGAGTAGACAAAAGTCCTCCAAGCAACTCTTAGTGATGCTTCCCAGAAACCAGGCGACCCCTTTTCCTGCAAACCTTGTAATAAGCAGACCCAGCCCACGCCACTTCATCCCACCCCCAACTTCCTGGTATCCCAGCTCCTTCCTGGGCCCGTCTACTAACCGGCAATCACTTCCAGTTGTACAGGGTCGCTGAGGATGTTCTCCTCCAGTCTGCACTGGTATTCTCCACTGTCATTGACTGTGGCTTTAAACGTGTAGTTGGGCCGGACCTGGCTCCGGAGGGAGCTCCCATTGTGGAGCCACTGGGTCGAATAGTTCCCAGGGTTGTGGGTCCCTTCACACTTCAATGTCACACTGTCTTCCTTGAGCACCTGGATCCATGGGGGCTCAAGTTTCACCACGGCCTTCGGGAGATCCGCTGAATTTCAGAGAGAGAATGCAACATGAGGCAAGGGAGCCCCAAGAGCCTAAGCAGGCCCCGAGTCTCCTCTGAAAAAGCACCCGTATTCCTAGGGAGTGCATCAAGGGTGGAATCCAGTACAGAAAACTTCTTCCTCGAAATTCTTCTACTCATTCCATCCCACAAGCCCAGAGAAATCACAAGGAATGTAATTGACTCTCAGCAGGGTGGAGCAAGGGAGAAGGCTGGAGAGGGCTGTCAACTTCCAAACCAGACAACGTGGGTGCCTATTTAACACATTAAAGCGTGCCTGCCCGCCAGGGTTTCCTGGCATCCCTCAATCCCTACCTAATGTAGGATAGGATAAGGCTGGCATATCCTGCTCCCTCCCTGAACTCTCCAACCCAAGTCCTGTGCTGCCCTTCCCCCAGAGGGTCTTCCCTGTATAATAAGACATGCCCTCACACCCATGCAAAGTAGAGGACTTATCAACACATGGGACAGTCTAGACAGACAGTAGTTTTCTATGTGCTTGAATCTTTTTTTTAAATATTTATTTATTTATTATGCATACAATATTCTGTCTGTGTGTATGTCTGCAGGCCAGAAGAGGGCACCAGACCTCATTACAGATGGTTGTGAGCCACCATGTGGTTGCTGGGAATTGAACTCAGAACCTCTGGAAGAGCAGGCAATGCTCTTAATCACTGAGCCATCTCTCCAGCCCTATGTGCTTGAATCTTATTCAGAGAGAAAGAGAGGGTTTGGCAGCTTTCTTTTCTTTTCTTTCTTTCTTTCTTTTTTTTTTTTTTTTTTTTTTTTTTGCTTTGTTTTTGCAACAGGGTTTCTCTGTGTAGCCCTGGCTGTCCTGGAACTTGCTCTGTAGATCAGAATGGTCTAGTACTCAGAGATCTACCTATGTCTACCTACAGAACACTAAGATTAAAGACATGCACAACTGTTTTTGTGTACAATTTTGTTTGATTTTAAAAAGTCTTTTATACATATAACTATTTATTAATGTATGGTGCTTCAGTACACGCACACAATGTGTAATGGACGGAGTTATTTGGATATCTGTCCCCTCACACATTGAATGTTCAAATCCTCTATTTTAGCTACTGTGAAATTTACAATTAATTGTCAACCATAATTACTCTTTGTAGTGCTTTGAGTGAAAATAGCCTCCATGCATAGGAATGGCACTATTAGGAGGTGTGGCCTTGTTGGAATAGGTGTTGCCTTATTAGAGGAAGTGTGTCACTGGGGGTGGGCTTTGAGGTTTCAGATGCTCAAGCCAGGCCCACTATCTTTCTTTCTTCCTGCTGCCTGCTAATTCAGATGTAGAACTCTCTGCTACCTCTCAGGCACCGTGTCTGCCTGCTTGCCACCATGTTTCCCACCATGATGATAATCTGAACTGTAAGCCAGCTCCAATTAAATATTTTCCTTTATAAGAGTTGCCGTGGTTACGGTGTCTCTTCACAGCCACAGGAACCCTAACTAAGACAGCCTTCTTTATAGCACATTAGAACTTGCTCCTCATATTTAACTCTACCTCTGTACCTATTAACCATCTTGTCTCCATCCTTACCCTCTCCTCCACCCTTCCCAAGCTCTGGTCATTTACTCTCTGCTTCTTTGAGATCAACTTTACAGACTCTCGATTTGACTTAGAGAGTAGAAGGCGGTTGAGGACAAGGACAGACCTCTCAATGTTTGAGATAATTGGTCACTTCTCACTATAACAGAACCAGAAGAATTGCTATACTAGAGAGCCATGCTTTCTGACCACTCGCCTCCCCAGACAAAGGGAAGGAGGAGAAGGGCAGGAAGTTTTCTGGGAACAATGGCCTTTTCCTGGTCCTGACCGGGTCCTGAGCTTGGTTGCTGGCACATTCTGAGCACTTCCGGGCAGATCTTTGGGGGAAGAGGGAGGTGACACATAGGACAGTGATAAGGTATGAAAAGAGGACTCACCATGTGTCCCAGCAACAAGATCTGTAAGAAAGAAAGCAAACATCAACCAGGGTCTGGGCTTCCACACTGAGACATGCCTACCCAGACCCAAAGGCCCCTTCATCCCCATAGCCCAACCTTCACGTCAATACCTTCCCCTGGAATTGCCTAAATGGAATACACTTTCAGAAATATTTGAGTTCTGTCCCCAGTAACATCTATGCTGTGACAGTTTCATTAGGCTAAACACTTTGACTGTCAAAGTTTACATGTGATTTGTATTTCAGTAGACTTTGCCAAGGTCCATCCTGAGAACAGGGTTTTTCTTTTGTGGGGAAGGTCTACAGATCACACAGGTAGTCCATAATCCTTAGGGGAAAGAGAAAATACGCATGACAAACTACTATCACCTTAGCACACGTGTCCTATACGTAAGTTGTATAGTGTGTGTGTGTGTGTGTGTGTGTGTGTGTGTGTGTGTGTAATGTTTGCATACAGATGAACAGCAAATGAGACCATACCAGAAAAGTGTTCTCTGGCCTGGTCTTTCACTAAGCAATACAAGATCTAGTAGCTGAGTCTGTTCTATGTTGTCATTTTTAACACCTGTGCCCTATCCTACAATTTGACTTTCCTGTATTTTATCTCACATCCCTATTGCTTAACATTTGGTCTTCCAGTTTTTGCTGATAGGCAAATTTGATAGGAGGAAGAAATAACAGAAGGACACCATGGGGCGGAGAGATGGCTCAGCATTTAAGAACACAGGCTGCCTTCCCAGAGGACCTGGGTTTGATTCCTAGCACCCATATGGTGGCTCACAACCATCCAACTCCAGTTCCAGGGGCTCTGGCATCCTCTTCTGGTCTCCCTGGGCATCAGGCACAGGTGTGGTGCACAGACATACATGTAGCAAAATACTCATTCACAAAAATTAAACTAAAAGAAAAGAACACTAGATTTGTAGCTTCCTTTGGGGGCAGATGGAATGACCCATGGAGACAGAAATGGCTTCCCAAGTAGAAGCCGAGCATGGAATGGGAATGCTGAATGGGAGGATGGAGCTCTATGCATGGCTGTTGGGTATAATAGCAAAATAGGTCCTGAGATAACTAGACCCCAAAGTGTGTACTGTGTGTGGGTAGATCTATGCACCCGTCCATGGTGGGAGCTTTCTCTTGTACTTGTGTTGAAAACATCACGAGTCTCCCAAGTCTGAATCCTTTCAGGGATAAAAGTGTGAAAATGAGTGCCGAGGAGGAGATGTTGCAAGGGGAGTGATGCTCTGGCAGCCCAGAAGACGGGATTCTGATCCCCGTGCCACTGCATCTCAGTATGTACACACAACCAATCCGTCTTTTTGTAATCCCGGAAAGTGCGCTGACTATCTCCTGCCCTGCCATTCATCCTGAGTGCCCCTAAAGGAAAAGATATAAGTCCCGGATGTTGTTCTTAATTCCTGTTTGTCCTATGGGGGTAAAGACGATTACGCAGGGAAAAGACACAGACACGCGGCGGTCCCACGTGGTACACTTTAATGGGGGGAGGGATAACAAACAGGTAGGGGAAAACGTGCAGACACACTAGGGGAGGCGGAAGGAAGGGGGGGAGAAAGGAGAAGAGAGAAGAAGAGGGGGGGGGCTCGTGGCGGCCCCCGTTTTTTAACAGGGAATGCAAAAGCTTCTGGGAAATGTGTCCCCAGGGGAACACTGGGAGTTGTAGTGTCACAAGAGAACAACACCGGATCCCCACTGAAGCCAACAGTCTGATGATAAGAACAAGCATGTGTGCAACCTAATACTTAAAAGGCTTTTTGGTTTTGACACAATCTCATTATGTAACCCTGATTGACCTAGAATGTGCTATGTAGACTAGTCTGTTCTTGTACTCACAGAGATCTATCTACCCAGTTCTGCTTCCCTAGTGCTACCCACCGCATCTTATAAAAGAGATGCTCTCAATGCCTTTAGAAGAACATAGACAAATGTTATGAAGATTCAGAGGAGGAAGAGAGTATAGGTCTTTGACTTTGGCAAGATTTTGCCTAGGCGGGAATGTGGGAGAGTAGTGTTCGACACGAAGCTCCAAGTAGTCTGTAATTGTGACAGACAGAAAGGGAATATTCCCTAAGAAAGATGTTGAGATATTTGTCAACATGCTCAGGAAGTTGCAGACTGGTTGCTGCTTTGGTCTGTTTAGTACACCCTCAGTAATGAGAGTCAAAGCTGAAGATAGAGGTAGATGCCACATTCTGGAGTACCGTTGTTGCCGAATGAAGTGAGTGGCAGCGAGTCAGAGCACACGGAATCATGCCATGACTATCATGGTGGTGGTTAGTCTTCATGGTCAACTTGACTAGATTTAGAATCACCATGGAGACATCTTTAATTGTGTCAAAAAGGGTATTTCTGGAAAGGTTTAATATAAGTGCTAAAACCCACCCTGAATATAGGTGTAGTTTAGTAGGTCCAATAGGTTGTGGTCCCAGCCTGAATAAAAAGAGGAAGAAGCTAGCTGTGTACTAACGCTCATCTCTCTCCTGACTGCTTCCTGACTGCGGGTGTGAGGTGGCCAGCCCAGGCTCCTGTCACCTTCCCACCACAATCTATACCAAAATAAGCCCTTCCTTAAGTTGCTTTTGCCTGGTGTTCTGTCAAAGTAATGAGAAAAGTAATTAAAAAGTGTTAAAGCAATGCACAATGGCCTTGCAGAGGTAACTTTACTTCTCTCTACTTCGATCTTCTTGCTTATTAATGGAAATCTATAAATTTATGGCAATACCCATGCCATAAACTGTTGTAAGGATTGAGTGATACTCCAGATACAGCATCTGTGCAGTGCCAAAGGCGCCATGTGAGAACCTTTTAAATGATCATGAACAAACTTTCGAAGTTTGATGTTTAGTTCGGTAAACAATGAGAAGTTCACATTGGGGCTGAAAGTGCTGTGTCAGACTAATTGGGACAGAGGAAGTGCAAGAGATTAGCAAGAAGACGGTGATCTAGAATGCATGTTAATGGCTGTGCAACGTCTGGCTTCTTCATCCCTTGTCTTTCTCATCTGTAGAGACCCTGCTCTCATATAGATTAACCACACAGGCCCATGTTATACCTCAAGGCCTTGTGATTATCACTCCCAGCCACACCAACTTCAAAACCACAAAATCAAATGTTCCAGGCTTCAGTCACACCAATAAACCTCCTCCTTTTTCTTCCTATTTGCCCAAGTACAGCCTCTATAGTCGCCCGACCACAACTTTTACCTCACCACTATCTACCTCTAAGTCCACCCCCACACACACCTCTAGCTTAGAGTCTGTGTTTCATCATTACCTCACCTCATTGCAAATCCCTTTATCTTCTTATTGCTGTTGTTGTTGGAGCCCAAGCTGGCTTCACACTTGTCAGGTAGCCCATGTTGGTCTTAAACTCCAGTCCTTCCTGCTTCTACTTCCCAAATACCATGAATGGATCCCCTTATTTACCCTTCTGACTCTATCAAAAGCATCAATATTCCCCCCATGACTTTGCTTCTTCATCTGCATTGACAATAGGAAGTAAAGAAGCCCCACATGTGAGAAAAACTTAAGAGGCAAAACTGAGAAAAATTAGCATTTAATAAAGCATGAAGTTGATAAATGTGCATGAGCAGGGGAAAGGTGGCATTGCTCAAGCAATTAGAAATATTAGAAAGATAAGAAAATTTGTAAGGAGATGATGCTGTTAGATTTTGAATATAGTTTTGTTTCTAAGCTGACAAATCTGCTTATAGATGTCTCATCAACAGGCAGGGAAATTAAAGTCTACAGAGGAAAGAAGGACAAATAAGTGACATAGAAGTAATGACTGAAAATCTGAGTGTGTGAGATTAGCAAGGAGGCTAGTACAGTGAATGAAAAGGAGAAAAAACCAGATATGTGGAAGGGAGAAACCATCATTTGTATGTTCATTCTATATTCAACATACATGAAAACTATGCTCTTGTCCAGTGCAGTCAATAGAAGGAAGACGAATACCTTGTACTTTAGGTCAGAAAAACTGCCTGTTCTGTTCTCTGACACGTCTCCAAATCTAGTCTCTGGCACAAAGAACTTAGAAGAATCAACTGAAGCACAGGTAGTAAAAGGCAAGCGTAGTGTCCACACTGCTGGCGGAGAAAGATCCCTTGTGGATAAAAGGGGAGCATGGCGAGCAGGTACTGGAGCTTTATCTGGAGTCAAAGGGCCAGCCCTGAAGACACTTAGAAAGCACTAAGCCTTTCCGTAGCTGTCCTGGAAGATTCCAGAGCTACACAGGGTCAAAGGCGGGAGCAAGCAAGACACAATCAAAGGGTGTTATAGTATTGAATCAAGGGATAAAATCCTAAGTGTGGAGAGCCAGAAAACAATGGAAAAAAGAAATTTAGCAAAAGAAAATAGAAGAAAATGCCATTCTTGGGAGCCTTCACCATTCCGTTCTTATGAGTCTTCAGCAGGTGATTGATGGCTGCACAGCACAAATAGAAAGGCATATGCATCTCTAGGACTGAGCCTTCCCATGTGAAAGCCGAGCTATCTGGTGTCACTCTAATATACCTACTTGTGGGCAAGTAGTCTCTCTTCCATACCGCTCTCCCTGGAAGCCAAGTCCCACCCAGCACTGACAGCTGAGGTCCCTCAGGACTGACCAGATTTCACTATGAGTCATAGCATGTAACATAGCATGGGGCAGGGGGTGGGGCAACTGTATGCTCTCCTCTCAGAGGTGTGGGTAGAAACCCCAGAACAGAGCTTAGAAAACGGCCCCTCAACAGGACTCCTTACTGTTCTTCACCCAGACTCTTCTAATCAACCAGCCCCATCGCTTTCTGCCCTCTGGCCCACAGGTGAGAGTAGGACCAGGAATCTTCCTCTGTCTCAGTCTAAGGCCCCCAACCCTGACTTTCTTACTAGGCAGAGCCAAGCCCAAGCCCCATGGCCTATGCAGTGAAGGAGGCAGGAGATATTTCTCTGGCCCCATAATTGACAACTCCAACTTGCCCAGATTTGTGATGATCTGAACCTAAAATCCCAGGACAGCCCAGACCTTCTCATGCCTGCCCTTATATATAAAGGGAGGAGGGGTCCTTCTGGTGGATAGAGTGGCTTCATAGGCACAGAGAACATCCATCCATTGCCACCCCCTCAGATGCATCTTAGTACCCCCTCCCAACTCTTGTTGGGAGCAGCACTAGACATCTTGCCTAGATTTGGTCCGGCATGAATCCCAAATTCAAATGGAAACTGGCTGATTGATAAATTTATCACTCAAGGCTAGGGCACTAGATTTCCCTTAAAGAAGGTTCTGGTGGGGAGGGTGGTAGTGCATCGGGGACCAGAGTACCAAGTGATAGTAGGTTCTAATGAGAAACGGTTAGTGCAACAGGGACCTGGGTACCAAATGACAGGAAAACAAGCAACAACAAAAACTCCTGCCAGCTTTGATTTTCAAAGCCCAGCCAGGCTGTTGCAGCCTAGTTCTTATCCTGCTACCTACTGACATGCTTTCTGTGCTATGTCCATCCCTGCACAAGTCCAACCCCAGCCCAGGTGTCCTTGCCCCTGCTTCCCTTCTGGAGGTTCTGACTTACTTAGCACAGCTGCCCACAGTAGCACTTGGCACAAAGTCTGGGAGAGTATACAGGCAGCCCAGTTGCTCTCCGGGGGGAGAGGTAAGAATGATGGGATTCGCATCGTTCCTGGAGCGAGTCAGCTGCAGGCACAGGCTTCTCTCCAGCCCTGGCAGACTGTAGCCAGAGAACAAATTCTGGAGTCCAAATGAGGAAGTAGAAAGAAACGGTCTGTTTAATCATTGGCTCCTCCCCTTCCACCCTCTTTCCTTTCTTCTTTACTAGAAGAGTCAGGACTGACGGAGCGAACTTGGTTCAGCTCAAGTCACAAAACAGTGAGAAACTGAGACCCAGCTCCCTGCTTGTTCTGCTGGAGCCACAGCTGACCTGGGACTCAGACGGGAGATGGCCACCCAAACTCAGCTCAGACATCATTTGCCTCAGTCTCTCTGTTCCTCAAGAAAGGGGATGAAGTATGGTAGACAAGAATCTTCTGGAACTTCTGTAGACGAAAAGCAAGAACAGATATGAGACGAGCAATAGGAGAGCATTCATCCCCCACATCTCCCTCTGTGCACCCCACTGTTCGTGAGCACCAGTTTGTGCCCTGGTTCTTAACCTTGGTCCGTTTTCCCCATCACTGGTCTCACCACTGTGGCTTTAGTGAAAGATCACAGGTTTCCAACTGTGAAACCGAGTCTGAGTATCAGGGAGCTCCTGAGAGCTCCTGGCTCCTGGGCTGTAAAATAAAGATCATCATTTCTACCCACTCAAAGTTTCTCAGCTTCTGCGGCACCCATACTTTTAGCAGAAAAAAAAAAAAATAAGCAGGTTGTTATGTAACCCAGGATGGCCTGGAACTGGCTATGCTGCCCAAGGTAGCCTCAAGCTTAAGCTCCTGCTGCCTCAGCCTCCAGGATACTAGGATTGCAGGGGTGTAGGAAGTGGGGGGCTAGGGATGGGTCACCCCACATTAGTTGTCACATAACTCTCCTGAGGGCTTGCCCTGGGCATTGTGGGGTGTTTAGCAGCACACCCTGTTGCTGCCCAGCAAGCAGCAGTGATATTGCTCAGCTGTGAAAGAAAAGGGTCCCAAGGCTTTGAATAAGGTGGGCAAAACTGTCACTGATGAAGAACCACTTGTATTCAAGGTTAATAGAAAATAAAAAGAATATGAAGGTATCATGAGTGGATGCTGTTTTTGTTTTTCTTACCTCCTTGTCCTCAGATGATGAGATGTTCTGGGATCAATTTTAGGGCCCTCTTCTGGGGCCTCTTTCCCAAATTCCCTTTCAGGAAGCAAGCTGTAATACTCAAGGAAATGACATAAAACCATCTTACATTCTGCGGTCTTCAGAAACCTTCAACAGTTCCACCCTATCTACCATATGACTTTACTACTGGGCCTATCTTACCTCCCTGCCAGCTTTTATCTGACTTTTAACCTGTGGGAAAGAGCAATGGGATGACATCAGTTTAAATATCATTAGAAACTAAAACATAAAAACAGAATGAAGTTAACATAGCAAGAAACAAAATTGATAATTATTGTGTAAACACAGGAATGCTAACCAACTATAAAGGACGCACTGATTTAATGCAACAAGAAAGTATTATTATTCTCCACTAGCGTGTGTAGATCCTATGGGGCAGAGTCAGAATACAAAGCCGGTGTGCTCGTTATTAAAGGTTCCGGTCTTACTGCAGCATTCAAGCAGCTTTCCGATTTCTCCAGGAACTGCCTTTGGGCCTGTGTGCATTAACTTTCGCACTAAGCCTTTGTCTTAGGGTTTCTATTGCTGCAATGAAGCACCATGGCCAAAAAGCGAGTTGGAGAAGAAAGGGTTTATTAAGGAAGTCAGGGCAAGAACTTGGAGGCAAGAACGGATGCAGAGGCTGTGGAGACGTGCTGTTTACTGACTTGCTGCCCGTGGAGTGTTCAGCCTACTTTCGTAGAGAACGCAGAACCACCAGCCACAGGATGGCACCACCCATAACAGTCTGGGCCCTCTCCTATCAATCCCCAATTAAGAAAATGCCTTACAGCTGGATGTTACCGCGGCATTTTCTCTATCGCCATTTCCCCTTTTCAGGCAACTCTAACTTGTGTCCAGTTGATGTGACCCTAACCAGGACAGCCGTTTAGTGTCGCTCAGGCTTGAGAATGGCTGGATGACACAGTGGTGCCAGCCGAGAGGAGCCTCATTTGTTTACATGATGTGTGTGGTTTTCTCTGAGTACCCAGATGTGAAGATGTCCGGAAAGCGTGGCACGCCGCACATGTTACTCTTTTGAATTTTCTCAGGCCCAACCATCTCACCAATCTGGAAGAAGACAAAATTCTCTGGATAACTTATTAAGTGAGACCCTCACAAAGCCATCCAGGGAATGTCCAGGAACGCTACACTGAAACAAAACTTGGAGTTTCTTTTCCCATCACACCTGGGAAAGGACTACAGAGGAGACATGTCTAAAAGGAAATGGTTACAAACACAGGGATACACACCTGAAAACTGGAGTAGGCCAACCAAAGAGGGAAAGTCCTCAAAAGGGCCGCATGACAGGAAGGTCAAAGTGGCAGAAAAATCATGGAAGTCCATTGGTAAAGAACAAGATGGCCAGGCGTGCCAGCATTCACCTGCAATCTCAACGATCAGGAGACTGAAGCAGGAGGATGGTGATCTCAATGGAAACTTGGATTGACATAATGATCCAAGGCTTGGGGAGAGGAAGGGAGGGGAGCAGAGAAAAACATAGCTCAATAAAATCAATTTTTAAAAATTGATGAAAAAAATGATCCAAGGCTACCACTCTGGGCTACATAGAAGGATCCTATCTCAAAAGATTAAAACCAACAAGAATGACAGCCAGAGATCACAGGTTTCAGAGACAGGCCAGACCAAAGCCTGGTCCTCTCACAGACATACAGTCCTGAATATATTTGCCATTGTTTCCAAGCTCTGTGAAATGGAGATTTTCTTTAGTGTTGAAGCACAGCCTGCACCGTTAGGCCCCAAACAAAGCCTGACTCGGGCTGTGCCTCTTCACAGCTCTCTCAGCTTTCAACCGAGCCTCCTCCACATTTTGTCGCAGGCACTATGGTGAACTACACCATGTCATACAAAATTTCCCGCCACCTTCGAAAGTTTACAAAAGTCAGCCTTTCCTTTGTTCGGGGGATGGCTCTGAGACTCCCCATGGGGATCTGGTCCAGAGGTGATCAAAGGCTGCTGCTCTCTGAAGATGATTCCCTGGCCTACCCCACCATCCCTCTCGTGATGCTTCCCACCCTGCCCTGTCCCGGTCTCTCTCTTATTACACTATTACTGAATGTCTGCTCTGAGCTTTAAAAGGAAACTTGCTTTTCCCCTTTAAAGACCTACCATGTTTGTAACTCCATATATTACACTGTTTCTGCTTGATGCTCTCCCTCGCACCTCGGGGCTGATCATGGCCTTGAGGCTCTCTCATAATAACTCATTGAAGGGAATTCCTTGGCAGCTTCTGCCATAGCCTTTGCTTTGCCTTCTTTTTTAACAGTATTTATGATGCTGTAAAGATTAATGCAAAATACACAAGCAAAGGTTCATTTAAAAGTTGACGTAAGTATATGCTCAACTATGTTCATGGCAGCATTGTTTGTAATAGCCAGAACCTGGAAACAACCTAGATGCCCTTCAACGGAAAAATGGATGAAGAAAGTATGGAATATATACATATTAGAGTATTACTCAGCAGTAAAAAACAAGGACTTCTTGAATTTTGCATACAAATGGATGAAAATAGAAAACACTATCCTGAGTGAGGTAAGCCAGACCCAAAAAGACGAACATGGGATGTACTCACTCATATTTGGTTTCTAGCCATAAATAAAGGACATTGAGCTTATAATTCATGTTCCTAGAGAAGCTAAATAAGAAGGTGAATCCAAAGACAAACACATAGGCATCCTCATGAATATTAACCTTCATCAGGCGATGAAAGGAGACAGAGACAGAGACCCACATGGGAGCACCAGACAGAAATCTCAAGGTCCAAATCAGGAGCAGAAGGAGACGGAGCACGAGCAAGGAACTCAGGACCACGAGGGGTGCACCCACACACTAAGACAATGGGGATGTTCTATTGGGATCTCACCAAGGCCAGCTGGCCTAGGTCTGAAAAAGCATGGGATAAATCCGGACTAGCTGAACATAGCGGACAATGAGGAATACTGAGAATTCAAGAACAATTGCAGTGGGTTTTTGATCCTACTGCACGTACTGGCTTTGTGGGAGCCTAGGCAGTTTGGATGCTCACCTTACGAGACCTGGATAGAGGTGGGCAGTCCTTGGGCTTCCCACAGGTCAGGGAACCCTGATTGCTCTTGGAGCAGATGAGGGAGGGGGACTTGATCGGGGGAGGGGGAGGGAAATGGGAAGCGGTTGTGGGGACGAGGCAGAAATCCTTAATAAATAAATAAATAAATTTAAAAAAATAAAAAAAAAAGTTGACGTAAATTCTCTCTAGAAGTGCTGTCATTAAAGACTAGAAAAGTTCAGCTTGCTGCTTCCAGCTTCCAGGAGCAAAATTATTTATTGCCCCAGATTGCGGAAGGTAGTAAGTGCTGTAAACCTAAAGGGTTCCAATTCTAGACTTTCTCAGATCCTGCATCTTCTCTGAGTGTTCTTTCTTCTTGGTTGAGTTTTGTTTCTCTTCCTCTTAGTATCCTGACCACCATGTCAGTGTGTGCCTGTGATATGACTTTATCAGTCTCCTCTAGGGTTTCCTGGTTACAACCACTTCCCTATGAACTGAGTCTCCCTCAACAATAAAAGCAGATGCCAACTCCAGGGAAGTGCAGGCTTGTGAGGGATAGCAACCACAAAGAGGGAATCAAAGACTACGGTTGAGTTAAAGGGACACTGGTTGGAGACATCTCAGCTAGATCCAATCACCAGCATCACCCACCAAGGGAATCAGGTCGTCGTTCAAACACAACCATCTCCAATAATCTTTTAGAGATGTAAATGTTCCAGCCTTTGTGGATCGTTAGCTCCAGAATGTAAAGTTGTTCACAGTTACTTTTCTTCAGAGCAGCAACAGGCTGAAGAGGTCTAATAACGGGATGGGGGATGAAGTAACAGACAGCTACATCTAAGGAAGCCAAGATCGTTGA